TTGGTCAATGACATGAGACAAAATATATGTGAACTGCTGTATGAAAAGTGAATTTACTCTGTAAATCTTCACCCAAATCCTAATTAAAAAAAAAAAAAAAAATTGCAGCCTTGGAAACCCTATGAGGCTGTTCTACTCTGACCTATAGGGTCACCATGAGTCGGAATCAACTCCATGGCAGTGGGTATTATGGGTAACCTTGCTTCAGGGTATTACTATACAAAAAAGTGGCTAGATTTGTGTGAAATAAAAGTATTTTACCAGTACGTAAAATCTTTTTAAAGATTCTCCTGGAGATCAAGTCATTTCATAATTTCCATTTTGTGGTGTAACCTGTTCTCACTCAGGGCTATTCAATATACTAGTAACACAAGTAGCTGCCTCAGGCCAAAGTACCCATGCCAGGTTTTCAAATCTTAGACTGATTAGTACATGAAAAAGGCATGCACTAGTAGAATGCTATTATTAAGCAACAGCTGCAGAAGATCACTGCATCCAGCACTGAGAACAGCAGAGGGGAAATTTCCAGCAACTGGAAGAATGTCACATGTTCCAAAGCGTCTCTTTAAAATATAGAACAAAGAATCGTACTTTAAAATGTTCTGAATCACGTTCTCTCACTGAATTACTTCATAATCTAACACCTCAACCAAAAACTTTTAATATGATTCTACCATTCTGTTATCAAAAGGAAGTTAAGTTTTGAAATTCTTAAAGACCCAAAACAAAAGGACCATACTGCTTTCAATAACCAATACTTCCACTTGAAATGTACTTCAATATTTTCTATCTTTCAGAAAGCAGATTTCTATGATTAAAATAATCTTTTCAATAGTAAACCATAAAGCAATCGTGAAAACATTATCATGTGTGCCTTGACTTTATAAAATAGATGCTCCAGAATTGCCTACAAAGTAAACATTTAAAAAATCACCTACCACAAGAATACCAAAAAAGGGAACAGAAAAATTATTTGCCTCAAATTAGCTTTACTCAAGGTAAACATGAAAGAATTATGTGTATTTGTACTTACAGGCAGTCCCCAGGTTATGAATATGTTCAGCCCATAGTTACGGACCAACTCCCATAAAACCTATTCTATCAAAAATTCAAGGTACGTACAATGATTCATAATAACGAACAGGGACTACTTTGCAATGTGCATCCAAATATTACTATATTATTATGTTAAAGATGGTTTAGTGTATCTAGAAGTGTTTCAATATTTTTTATACAGACAGGCACAGTAAAAGTACACTATATATTAAGGCAAACATTTGACTAACCAACGTTAGATACAAACCATACCAACCTACATACAAATTCAGCTTAAAAATATATTTGGAAACAGAACTCATTCATAATCCAGTGACTGCCTGTATATTATCAAAGAACTCTGAAGATAAATATTATGGAATATAAATGGAGAGTTTGCATTATTTGAGAAAATTATTGATGTAGCATACAAGTTTTATAATCACTAGTTAATTATGCTACTGTTATTAGCTATCAAGTCGGCCTAATTATGGTGATTCTATGCACCATGGAACAAAATTCTGCCCAGTCCCCATGATTGGTTGCAGATCTGAATGTAGTGATTCATAAGGTTTTCATTGGCTGATTAGTCCATGTTAGTCTGGAAGCTCCAGTGAAACCTGTTCAGCATCATAGCAACACACAAGCCTCCAATGACAGGCAGGTGGTGGTTGTACATGGAGTGTACTGGTGGGGAATGAAAGCTAGGTCTTCCACAGGGAAAGCAAGAACTGTACCACTGAACCACCAATGCTCCTTTAGTTAACTATAGGTAATAGTGCAACTGTAAGTAATAAGGTTATTACTTTACTCCAAATCAAAATACATAAAGTACTGGCTCAATTTGCAACTCCAAAAGGAAAATTTAGTGAATCCGGAATTTTTTCTGCTTCCTGGAAAAAAGTTAATAAGGAAAATGATGTTAAGCTGTTAAACTGTAATGAGTGAATTAACTTTCAAGCTGATTCTGTTTTTAAAAGGAACTTCAGAGCCTACAATGGTGCTAGAAAAAGTGAATGTCATACACTGAAACCAATCATTATAACAAATCTTCAATTTATTTGAAGCAATTCAGTTTCAAAAACCTTAAGTTACAGCAGTCACAATAAAACAGTCAGAAACAATAAAAGAATGGTAGGGAGTACTGCATTTTTTGTTTGTTTGTTTGTTTGTTTTAACACTGTCATGGCTTTATTCAAAACACAGTTGCACAAAAGTAGTAACTTCAAAGTTTTTTAAGGAGAAATTCTTAAGGAACTTAACACACTATATACATACTGCCATACAAAGAGCATTAAAATAGGACCAAAAACCTCTACAAAATATAAAACCCACCCTGACTTATTTGCATGAAAATACCACCTACAAAGCTAAATAAGTTTTAAAAGTTATCTGGAGGCTCTAAGTGTTGTTTTCAAACCGAAGAACTCTATTTTTGATTGCACAATAAGATGATTGATAAGAAAGTCAATATATAGATTTAATTTAAAAAATATTTTATAATCTAACATATTACAAGATGAGAAGTCTTAAGGACTAAAACAGGGCATTTTGATTGTTAAAAAGAGGTGAAATGTTAGTCTTTTGTATATTCCAATCCCCACACTAACGTGATCCCAAGAATTTCATTTCAGTCAGTTGTGCAACTTTATAGTTTCTCTACAAATAACTTCATCATTTTTCACTTTAAAATTTTAAACTCATACATGTTAAACTAAAAAAGAAGAACTAAGTAATTTCAATGTGTCCCTGTATGGAAGGATAACTTCAATTAATTTGCTGACAATAACTTTAAAAATGTTTACAAATATTCAGAACAAAAGGAAAAAAATTTAGATAGTCAAGGTCAAAAAAGCAAGAGCCTCCATGACAAAAAGGGAGATGTACTTGTTTACTCATTGTATTTTTTTAGTAGGCATATAGGAAACACATACAAGCACGCTCACATTTATCTCAAATATTTCTCTTTTTTAATGGCCATCCATTTGAAAACAAATCCTAATTTTAGGTTCCAAATATTGTGCCAACTACCTAATATTTCCCAATTAAATGCTGTAATTTCTGATAATCCTTTATAAATATAGGAAAAATAAAGGTTCTACTCAGGAAAACTAAAAATATTTTGTAGAGTGGTATACAAATCATTGGGAGCTCTGGTGGCATAGTTTCCAAGGCATTTGACTGCTAACCAGAGGCCGGCAGTTCAAACCCATCAGCCACTCCTCAGAAGGAAGATTGGGCCATCTACTTCCATAGTGATATTGCCTTGGAAACCCAAGGAGGGGTTGCTATGGGTTGGATCCGCTTCAACAGCAGTGAGTTTGGGTTTTGGTTTGGTTATACAAATCATTTGGGAAGCCAAATTAAAAATACTGACTTGAATGTCTCATTATCAACAGGCAATTGTTCTGACTTCCGAGGGACACTGATGCTGCTTCCCAAAGCCTCCCTTGCTTCTTTTCTTTCTTTGTCTATTAATACAGTCTGTACATGTTGACAAACAAAAGAGATTTCTAGTAAGTAGAGCCTGTTGCATAAAATATATGGATAGTAACATTTGTATCTGAGAAAATACTCCATTTCTCTTACTGAGCTTGTTTAAAACCTAGATAGGTCTGAAAAGGTGGTTGAGGTATAAGACTAAAAGTTTTTCTAGTAGCCATACATTTCCCAACAATTTTTCTTTTTCTTTTTTTTTTGAGATGGAGGGGAGTGAAACAAGAAAGGACAGTGAGTGTAAAGGAATTGCTGAGAAGAAAAACACATACCTAAAAACAAACGACCCCTGACATATCATGATCTGCAGCCTGAAGAAGAAAGGGCTCACCTGCATGTCTCTGAACTTAGTATAAGCAATTTTTCCTTCAAAAATAAAATCTTACCAGTCACCTGGCTTAAGAGAGCTTTCAGAAGCCTCCACAAAATCCATGAACTATATTGCTAGATAGAGCTTTTACTATTCTGCTTCTACTCTCCAAGTAACTCTTATGACAAAGAAGCACCCAAATATCTATAGCAAAAAAAGTCACTGCCTTCGAACTAAAGATCTCTGGGTCACTTCTAAAAAATAACCAACTCATCATTCAAGAGACTACTGTCATTTCATATTACAGCTGACTGTGATTTCAGTTAGTTTATAAATAACTTTAAAACCTTATGAATGAAATGCACTATAGTATACCTGTGTAAAAGCTATCGATTATGGGCTAAAAATGACTAGTACAGTGAGCATGGATTAGAAAAATTAAGATTTCAAACAAATTTCTAGGGAATTTCATAATATGGGAGGGTGTCAATGAAAAGTTTTTTCTACACACAATATGATCATTAACAGACTAATAAATCTTATTTGGAATGATAAAAAGGCGAAAATAGTAAAACCACACTTTTCCTATAAAAAGTTACATGTTATGTTCTGTAAGGACAGCTATCATACATGAAGAAAAAAAGAAGATGTGATCACTCTATTGCAAACCCAAGAATATTAGGAAATGGGGTCTTAGAATGATCTAGTCATCTTCTTCTTCCCCATCATCTTCAGCATCTCGTTTCCTCTTCTCCCCTCGAAGACCTTCTTCTTCTGAAAGACGAGTGGAAGGAAAATTATAAAATACTTGATTTTAACAAATGAATATGTACTAAGTTATAAAGTTTTGATTCTATCTTAGTGAAAAGGTGATGGCATGAGAAAATTATAGGTTAAGTTTCCTCTCTGAATTTCTTTCAATTTCAATGTATTGAACAGACTTAGAAATCCATAAATACAGACAGCTTGCTATGCACCCTTGTGGCCAAATTATGAAGTACAGATCAAGAAACATGGCTTTGACATCAAAAGAGTTAAGTAGTAAATTTTAAAAATTATTTTGAAAGACCTAGGTAAAAGAGTACCAGAGCCAAATCTTAACAAAGGCATTATCTGGAGGTCACATTCTCTTCATCATTTCCACAATGAAACACTCTAAAAAAATAAATTGAACTCAAGCTTCCATTATCTTTTCGTTCTTGTTTTAAAAATGTTGTTAAGCAGCTTAATTTTTAATGTAACTTATGAATTATATGAGAATATTTTTCTTTAAAAAAGGTTATACACCTGTCAAGGCACACTATGATAAACATACAAAATTTAAGTTATAAGCAATCAATAATAATTTGATTATGGAATCATTCTCTAAAGACCATGAATAATAGCTATGAATTCTAGGGTTTTTTAATGACTAGTGTAACTCACCCTCTTCTTCTTCTTCCTCTCCTTCTTCAACATAGTCATCATCATCTTCTTCATCCTTGAAATTCAAATATTCAGTTTGAGAATAAATAAGCCATGACAGATTTTTTACCATTTGGTAGGGAATACATCCCAGCAAAAGCAAAGAAACTTATAGTTATTCCGTGTTCTGATGATCTCTGCCTAACTTATACACTAAAAAAAAAAAAAAAAACCTCACTGCCATCGAGTTGGATCCAACTCACAGCGACCCCTCCTTGGGTTTCTAAGATGGTATCTCTGCACAAGTAGATTGCCCAACCTTCCTTCTGAGGAGTGAACCGCCAGCCTTCTGGTTAGCAGTCAAGTACCTTAGGCACTATATACATCCTTTTTAAAAATCCAACTAAATCCCTAGTTACTTTATAAAAATAAGTTATGTTTGAAAACAGCACTATCCAAAATAATTGTCTGCTATGATGGAAATGTGCTGTATCGGTGCTGTCCAATACCTTCAACCATCAGCCAGCCACATGTGGCTACTGAGTATCTGAAACATGACCAGGAGAAATGAAGAACTGAATTTTTAATTCTAGTTAATTTAGAGTCATATGTGCTTAGTGGCTATCATACTAGATAGAGCAACTTTAGACTATTTCAAAAGCAGGGCCTTCATTTCACAGATTGAGGTAGAAGTTACCTGAATCCTAGCTCCAAAGTAGTTATGTGTTGGACTTCATTTCCAATCAATAAAAGGAAAATATTAGTCTAAAAAGATCTGCAAATTCCTTTTACACCTAAAAAGCTACATATCAAAATAGCAAAGGTTAATAAAAACTACAAAAAAACTTGATCTACAACTCTTGTGGGATAAGCTGTTCTGGATAGCTACTACTTAAATATAGCCTTTAATCATCATAAACTCTTTTTTTTAAAAAAAAGCTCTAGGCAATTAGGATACTAATCTCAAAAATGTACTGCACACTTTTCTACTGTTTTATGTTGACCTTATTCTTGAATAACCACAGTCACCATTTTGATCATGAACATTTACCATATTAGCATATGCTGATTCTCTCAGAACTTATTGATATATGTAAGATAGATGTCTCCTTTTTACAATAATACCAAGAAGGTGTGTACTTATTAGAACAATCAACCATGTGAGATCAAAAGGACAGCATTTGCCCAGGAATAAAGCTAAGAAGGCAGCAAAGGACAGGCAAGAAGGACGAATGGAAACGGTAAACACAGGGAGGAAGTGGGAAGTACAGTTACATTTTGGGGACTGCAAAGAATGTCACAAAACACTAGCAAGCTGCCATCTAGCTGCAACAATGGGTCTCTCCTCGTCAAGAGCAAAGAAGAATGAAGAAAACCAAAATTCATGGAAACAATTAGTC